ACTCTCCCACCGCGCCAAGTAGCCCGTGTCACTACTCCGCGCTGGCTGGCGGGGCGACGCTACCCCGCGCCGGCAGTTCTGTGCCGGAGCGGGTCGGTGCTGCCCTCTGCCGGCCCGGAGTCCCGACGGATCCGGTTTTGTCCCTCCCCCTCCCGGTCCCGGTCCCCTTCGCGGGAGGACGTTCAACAGGAAATGAGTAAAGAGGTCACGAGGACCTTCGCCTCTGAGTGCCTGAGGGACGTGAGCGCGGGCAGGAATCGCAGCCCCGAGCCCCGGCATGGCGTAGCATGGCGCGGGCGCGGCCTCCGGGTCGACCGCGAGTCCGCATTCGAGTCCCAGCGGATGCGAACAAAAAATATTGAACTCCCACCAATGTAAAGGGTTGGGTGATCTGCGACGTCTTTTATTTGTTACTGGTTACACCTGTAGTTATGCTGTACCGCAAGCACGAGTGCGGGTAAGTTGCCTACTTGCTCGGCCCGTAAGGCGCCGTGGACAGGGGCGATAGGCAAGCCCGCCCGCCCTTGTGCGTGCGGTACAGCATCACTACAGGCGTGCGTGAAGTTAATCAGCCACCGTGCACTGCACATCACCTTCGCGCTGCGCATACCTTGTGCACGATGAGCTCGAGCTCCTCCAGGCGCTGTCGGTCGTACTGGCTGAGCGCCTCGGCCGGCGGCTGGTAGTCCCGGTAGCCGGTGGGCGAGGGGTTGAGGTTGGGCCTGTCGCCGTCCTGGGCCGCGGCGGCGCCGGCCTGCGGGGCCGGCTGCGGCTGGTTGTGCGGCGCGTGCTGCAGCGGCGGCGGCTGGTAGCCCGGGTAGCCGTACTGGGAGGCGCCCCCGCGCTGCGCGTCCTCCGCGGACTCGAACACGTCGTCGATCATGCTGTCATCGGACGCCATGGACTGCAAAAAAGGGGGGAAGGGGAGAGGCGTCATCGCGTGGTCATCGGAGCAATCCAAACATTAGTCCTGGTCCATTATTGCGAATTAAACTGCGTGTTGAGTGGAAATTAGAAAATGATCACCTTTCGACGAGCCGACATTTGTGGGTACTTACTGTTCCGTTAGATGTAATCGACGTACAACTCTCTTCAAATCCAAGAGCATTTCTCTCTTGTATTACTACAGTGATTGAAAAGTACCATCTACACTAAAGCATGCAAAGCAAAAGAGAGTCGCGCATTTTAAAAAAGAAATTCAAAGAAAAATGAATGACATAATGACAAGCTTTCGTGAAACACCTTCGGAAAAATGATAGATCAAAACGATGTTACTTTAACTCCACACTGATGTAATTATGAAATTCATGCACTTTCCGAACAGTGTTGTTCTACCTCGGCGTGTGGTGATCCAGCTTACCGCTGAAATGTCACGAACTCTCAAACTCGACCATGGTGGACCCGCTCCGCCGCTACTGTTGATAATCACCACTGCTCTACAAATTTGCTCCGTTCCATTTCGGGCCCAGCTACTACTTTATCAGCCCCCCCCCCTCCCTCTCCCACTCCGACTCTCTCCCCCCTTCCCCCTCGGCAAGCTGGGTTATCGCAATAAAATGGCATTGAAAAAACATTTCTCACAAACTAAAGCCCTCATTCAAGGACATTCTTCCATCTAAGTTGATGCTGAACTGATTTATTAAGCAATGATAACCAACGATATGTGAAATCAATTACATGTCTACGGCGGCGTTCTGAATACTATTCAATGTGCTCATTTTTGAACCCCACAAGCCTCAAGCAAATATTGTGAGGGTGAGTATTAAAAAAAAAGTTCATTACCATGTGGTCCGGCAGGTCATTAAATTGTGGGTCCATTTTCTCCACAGTTTATCACCCTACAAGAAAAAGGAGCAGAATGTTATTAAAAGCTGACTACATAAATGAAGACATTCATATACGCATTCACAGTTAACTACATAGTCATTGGTAAACATTTCCGCGACATTCAAAAAAGGTGCTGCACATGGGGTTGGAATTCAAACAGGCAACATGCCTATAGCCAGTGTCAACAGGTTGCACATAAAATGGATAGAGGAAAAAAAAAGTTCAGAATACATAGGGCGCGAAGAGCCCCAAAAAAGATAAGCACATCAAAGCCAAGTCGTTGCAGCGACCGGGCGAGAAACTTGCAAGGCACATTTTACAGTGAGTTGCTGGAACCACGAAACAAAAACAACAACAAAAAGAACAATTAGAGGGACAGGTTCCCTTGGCGAGTAGGGGGGGGGGGGGAGTGAATGGGCTAATGCAAAGAGACAGAGAGGAAGAGGTGGTTGGTGGAAAGGTGGAGAAGGGGGGGGGGGGGCGACAGGAACATCTGCTCAGTCGGCCGGCAGGTGTTTGAGTACGCACTTGTTTCAGGCTTGTACACTCCTATAAACTAATGCGGATGAGGGGATCACTACAAGTGTGGCAGCGTGGGCGTGGTGGTGCAGCAGAGGCGTGCTGGGGGAGGGTCGAGGGGTGCGGGGTGCCTCCAACGGTAGCTGATTTTGACGACTGTTGAATGATCAACTGAACGGACGAATTCCTACGTATATTGTGAGACAGAGAAATGCGAGAAGTGGCAAAACCACGATATTGAAGGAGGTGACGCAAAGAAAGAAAACAAAAACGGCCTTCACCTCTGGTCAGGTCAGGGGCCGCCGAAGGTAAGGAAGGGGAGGGGGTGGGGAACTGTTGCTGCAAGCACCACGATCAGAACTGCCAACCAAACACACGTGCGCACAGAGACATGCCGAGCGAGGGCGCCGAGGCCGCCCTGCGGTGGCCGCTCACCTGCTGGCCGGAGACGACGGACCACTGCGAGGAGTGGAGCAGGGAGGGCGAGCCGCGCCGCGCGCCTCCACCCCCGGGACCGACCCGCGAGCCTCACGCACTTGGTCGCCGTGGCCGCGGGCCGCCGCCGCCACCACCGCGACCCGAGCGCACCCGCCCACCCTGGCGCCCCATGGCGAGGTTAGGAGGCCCGGGTGCCGCCGCGGCTGCACCCCCGCGGGTCCGCCCCCCGCGCCGCGCTCCGCCTCCGGGCGGGGGCGGTGCCCCGGCGGACCCTGGCGGACCCTGGCGGTCCCTGGCGGTGCCCTGGCCGTGCTCGCCGCTACGTGCGCCCGCCGCTCGCAGCACACGACGCCGAGCACGACGCCGCCCTCCGCGACCCCCGCGCGATCTCCCGGCCCCGGATGACACGACACGCAGCGCGACTCCCGACGCCGTCCAGAGCACGGGGGGCGGCCCCAGGGCGTCCGGGCCGTCAAACGGTCAACGCGACAAACACGGCGACTCGGGACAACATATCGCACACCGCCTGCTGGAAACGCCGAGTGGGCGTCTGCAGCCAGACACGGACCCTCCGCCGCTAGTGTGCGATTTGGTAGAGATAGGACGGAAGTGAAACCAAGTGGACTCTTACACTCAACGCCACCTAGCGGCCATTCCCGCGTGCTGCACGCTGCACACTCTGTCAACTGTCAAAAGCCGGAGCCGGACGAGTCTCGACATATCTAAAGAATGGCATCCAATAGAAAGATCTGTCAAGGCAAAAAATCAATTTAATTAGAAATAATATGAAAATTTTAGACTTGAAAAACTGTGCGGGCTCGTGCGGGCTTGTCAATCTACCTTGCGGGCTCTTGCGGGCTCTTTCACCTGCGAGCATGATGCGTTGAGCCCGCAACAGCCTGCCCTTTTGGAGGCACTGGTAGGAGACTGTTTAAATAAAAACAACTGTAAACTTTGTTGTGTCATTACTGAGAAGTTTGTCAAAATGGCAATTCATTACATACACATCAGTTTGTTGGGAATTAGTAGAAATTCATACAGCGTTTGATTTTGAACTTCTTCAGTTGTTATCAAAATGGCAGGTAGCAAACGATAATTTGCGCAATAAAGGCATTGTCACAGATAGAACCATATTCAAATTCGTGACAGTTCAATTCATTCAGTATAAATTGCCCCTCTATGCAGTGACAAGCTGACAGGTGACATTCAACGTGGTTTGTTGTTATGCTATAGGTTTTGTTTTTCGATTACGTTTATCAACGATATCTAGCATTCAGTAATTCAATTAAAGTTTGTGTTGCATTCTGAATTTTAATTTGCATCAATGAATTCACCCTTTTATCAATAATGAAAAAACAAAACTTACAATGAATTTTAGTAGCCTTATTTTTGTGAAGGATCTTCAGGAACCAAAACATACGATATATGTAAGACTTGATTTTCAGTTGTCTGTTTTTGATTGAATGCATTAAATTTTCTGCAGCATGCAATATCAATCTTAATTGACGTCAGTGAATTCACCCTTTTATCAATCATGAACAAACAGAAATTAAATTGAATTCTGATAACATTGGTTTTACTTAGTTCACATCAATGAATTCACCCTTTTATAAATAGTGAACAAACACAATCAAGAAAGAATTAGAAGTAGCTTGTACTCACAATCAACACAAGTCCAATCAGACTAACTGATTTACAGTTGTTAATTTTTGTTTAGAATGACCTAAACTTTACGGTTGTCATTGAGTATTACTTTTAATTGAGATCAATGAATTCACCCTTTTATGGATCGTGAGTAAAGACAAAGTGTAAGGGATAAGAATAGGTGATTAGTACATTTAATTGACATCTTTGAATTCACCCTTTTACGGATGGGTCGTGCATAAAGACAAAGTAGTATAAGGGTTAAGATTAGGTTTTATTCACAATCGGAAGTCAAAGTAGAACTTTTAGATTATTATAAACTTTTCAATTTATTTCAGTTCACATAAATTGAGAGACACACTCAGCCTTTAATGCACAGCATTCTACTAGTTATGTAACTATTAGAAATATTTATCTTCAATTACCAAAACGTTAATCTAATTATTATTATTATTACTACTTGCTTAACGATCGAAGATTATTTTCTGATGGTGTTCACGTTCATGCGTTCACGACACATGTATCAGCGGCCGGGTAGTCAACAGAGCAGACGCCACAAGCCACAACGGCCGCTAGGTGGCGTTGAGTGTAAGAGTCCACTTGGTTTCACTTCCGTCCTATCTCTACCAAATCGCACACTACTCCGCCGCGCCCCGCCGCACGGACCCGGCGCCCCCTCGCGGCCGCGACCGGCAGCTCCGGGAGGGAAGATCAATGCGCCCTCCCGTCAGCCGCGCCCCGCGCCCCGCGCCCCTCCGCACCCCGCCGCCGGCTGCACCTTCAATCACAACACAGCCGCCGAGTCAATCAATAATCAATCGCTCAACTCTCCTGCTTTGTTGAACACAACTGACCACACAACGTTTTGTTTTTCTGACTGACGACTCCGACCCGAACTGTTCCGGTCGTTTTTATTTTTTAGCCTACAGCGCGGCGCCCCATATGATGATATGTACTTTGCCATGCGCAATTCCGGGTGCCGCTGTGTGTGTGTGTGTGTGTGTGTGTGTGTGTGTACGCGCGCGTGTGTGTGTGCGATGGAATGACAGCGGTAAAATCGAGCTCGGTGCGGCCCGGTGTGTCATTTCGCGGGAAAGGAAGGAAAGGGTGAAACGGAAACTGCAGAGTAGTAGGGGGTATGACGCAGTGAGGAGCGAGGGGGAGATTGGGGGGGGGGGCAGGAGGACGCTAGAAGGAGCGAGGGAGACATGCGGAGAGCAGAGGAGAGAGTGAGAGAAAGATTAGGGTGGTTGGGGAGGTGGGGTCGCGACCCCTCCTCGTGTCACCCTGCCCGGCGTGACCCCAGGGCGAGTCGCCGCAGCTTGTGACAGGTTTTACACTCCCACGACGAAAATCACACCGCACTCGTTCTCACTAGCTCCATCTCTATCTTTCTTTCATGCTTTGTTACTCACCCCCTTCTCCCCCGCCCCCTCCCCCCCTCTCTCATCCCATATGAAGAAAGAAGTAACTAGGGCAGCATAGTTCCAATACGGTGTTTGAATGACCCCTTCTCCCCCTCCTCTTCTCGCCACACTCGAGTTGGATCCAACCCCCTGCGATCCGTGAGAAGCGTCATCGATGTCGATGTTGGATGATTGTGGCGATGAGCAATCGGCCTTCGGTATGTACCGGCTGGTACCGGGCGCACCAATGAACGTAGAGCCGAATCTGCACTCAGTACCTGAATGTGAACGGCTAAAACAAAAACAAAAAAACAAAAAATAGCCACGCTGCTTGCTGCTCACCCGACCATGTTTTTCCCGACGCTGCTGACGCAGCTGCTGCTGCTACTGCCTCGGAGAGAATCGAATTGCAATAGCATCACGGCCTGCATGAAGGGGATGGGGCTATAGGGGATGGCGCAGGGCGCAGGGCGCAGGGCGCAGCCGAGAGGCCGTGGTGTGGCTCCCCGCCTCACCCCGCCCGTCACCTGCCTTACTGCTCCAGCGGCAGCTTGATGGGGCTGGGTAGAGGAAGAGGAGACATGATAGCAGAGAGCGGCTAGCGGCTCGGGAGGAGGAGAGGGTGCGGCAGGGGCACGTTTTCCTGAAGGAGGGCAAAGAAAAGGAGGGCGACCCCCATCCCCGTCGCACGCCGCTCAGCTCGGCTCTGCTCCATTCCCGGTGCAGCGGAGCCCGGCGGGAGGTGGCGGTTCCCGCTCTTGCTTATTAGAGCAGAGTAAGTGACCCCAAAAAGGTGTGATGCGTCGCCTGCCTGCATCGCCGGGATGAAGAAGATTGGAGGGGAGAAAGGGAGGGGAGGAGGCTTTTCATCGAACAAGGCGCGACAGGAGTAACACGGAGACGGAGGAGAGTTTGGTATACCCTCCGCGAGATGTGGGGGGTGTATATGGCTCCTATGGTTCCACGCGGGGGGCTGGCTCTGGCCTGGGGGTGACTGTGCTCGCTCTTTGGTCCTCGTTCGATCCTCTCTGCCTGCTCTACTCGTGCGTCCATATGGCCGAGGCTTTGGTTATCCATATCCAGTCCAAGGGCGTCGCTGGCTGTGGCGTCGCTGCGTCTCCGGCGTTGCGTCTCCAGGGAGGGGTATAGGGGCCGAGCGGGGGCATAGGGG